TCTATTTGTTTATGCTCAGTCAAAAAGTATGACAATTCAATACAAGATTCCTTATAAGTACACAACGTACTCGTTAAAATAATTTAAAAATATACAAAACACATGCACCCTTTTTTTTTGATCAACGAATAATTAAAATTAGACAAATATTTTGAAAATTGTATAGTGAATAGCAAATTTCTATTTGATGCGAATTTCAAGTTATTATGGCAAACTATTTTTGAACTACAAATAAATCGTAAAATGTCTATTATAATATAACCTTTTATATTATATACCTATAATTACAACAAAATGTGGTTGAGAAATAATTGTTGTTCTTAATCTAGAGAAGGTATTCATAAAAAATAAAAAATAAATACATTTTATGGCTATTCACCTTATATTTTATCAACGCCAACCTATATACGCACCTATTACTTATTTATTTATTTTTATAAATCATCATAAATTCATAATTATTAAAATCATGTTTGCATATCACATTTTGTGTACAAATGATATATTATTATATGTTATTGGGCCATAACAATAATCCATCAATATTTTATACCATGTCCATTAAGGAATAAATTGTGTTTATATATGGTGTCAACGATCAGCAACAAACACCCATGGTAAAACATTATTAGAGTATTATATCGTTATTGTATACGCGTCGTTAAACTACCAATATTTTAAAACTACGAGTTTATTATGGATAGATTTTTTTTAATCATATAATCAATTATTATATTAAATACTAAAATACACGACATAACAAAGTGGTTAATTTTTTTTTTTTTTTTTTAGTAATAATTGTTTAAGTCATCATAATATATTATAATGATTGTATTAGATTTAATAATTTAATTAATTATTCACGATTAATAATGAAGTATTAAACCATTTATTTTATAGTTATATTTCGAACAATTACTGATGAAATTATCAATATTTATATGATAAAAGGGTTTTGTTTTATATTAAAAATGTAGAAAAAAATGTACTCACTGCATTAATTTATTTGTGGTTTTATTTTTATTACTATGGTATTGATATGCAATTATTTTGGAAACGTATTAACGTCCATCGTCCGATTATCGTTATTATGACCTATAATATAATATTATTTCGACTCCATAGTCTAGAATCGCGCTTATGGCCTCGAATAAAAAGCCATACCTTAAAACTAAATGTATGTGTGAAGCTTATATTATAATGAGTAACCAAAATAATGCATATGATAATATAAACAAGTATAAGCATATACTATACCTACGTCCATAACATATGATATATACGATGTTTTTGTTAAAAATAAGTTCAACAGAACCACAAGTACTACGACACTATATATAGGCGACTGGCGTACAACTATAATAGAAAAATAAATGACTTATTGTAATATAAATAAATCATAACTTATCCTTAGAAATAGAGTCCGACACATCGCACTGAGTCGTTTTTTGTATGCAATGATAATATATATTATTAAATTGTTTGTTAATTTCGTGAACTTCAGCTACTGTACTCACTTTGCTAGCGTCCTTGTATTAATACCTAGGCTTCTCGCATTTTTCACACCTACCTAGTCTACTCATCTTGTCCGTACTCTGATTAATTATTATGAATATCAAAATTACCTACCTAGTTTTATCGTATGGTATGCCATTTTAATATTGTAAAATAATACCTAAACTTGAATCTGCCTAATAGGTATAGGACGTGCGTCGAGAAACGAAATATCGTTTATAAGCCCGTCGGATAAAATCGCTGTTTGCTTAAACCCGTGCACAGAAAATCCTAGTGTCCGACTCAAACACTGATAAATTATTAATGAAAGCCCGCCTGTGCATGTATATAATATTTTTTTATGGAAACCCTGTATATCCTCTGTTGACGCGTGTAAACACACCTTGCAGTAAATCACTTCAAGGTGTCCGATAAAACATCGCTATCCATAATATTATGCGCGATGTATATTATATAAATATTAAAAATGTACGGTACATTATTATTATTAGGTGTGTGTGTTTACCACGGAGATCCCTTGTCGTCATCGCCACGACGATATACCGTTGTAATGTAACGTCACGTTGCACGTTTTACAATTTGTACAACCCCATTTTTGTCACTACGAACAATGGATAATAATATAATATGACATAAACTCAAAATCTGTCACATTAATGTTGAGCCGAAGTGCGAGACTTCAAAGGCGTGTTCGAATGAGACTTTCCTATGCTCGACTGGAAGCTTGCACGGTTGACGTGCATTTCCACAAAGTAATAATATAATATTATTGCGCTAATATTTTAAAGTAGAGGTATCTCGAGCAATAAAAACAAACGCTGGCCTGCAGGCCGGACTCGAGTACTCGGCACTAAAAAAGGTGGACAAGTGGGTATCGCTCTGCTGTACAGTAGTTGTAATGGATGTGTTATATTTGAATACAATGATAAACCATTGTATACGAAAAACGATTCTGAGCGGTTATGGTAGTCCTTATAATATTACTATTTTTTATTCGTTAATATGGTGATAAATAAAGCGTTAGAAATTAAAATCCCATTTTTAGTTTCGTAATTTGTCAGTAGTTTTTCTCGACGCTTTCTAAAACTACTTGGCATTTTCAGTTTTTACCTCCCAATGGTACCAACAACGTTCATTTTTCTATCAGAAAAGATTCTGACCTCAAAAATCGAAGCATGTTTACTATTCAAAATGTTGCTGGCAGACAGAAAAAAAAACACACATTATTGTAAAACCAATACATTCTTTCGCCCAGCTCAGAATCTAATAGATGATCGCCTATATACATATATATATATTACATACCACTGTCTGCTCTATACGCCCTGAAAATAGATTATGACGCCGAAAGCTTATTCATTTCCATTTAATATTATAATATTATAGTACAGTATTTCATCCTATGTGTTTTTGACATTTAATAATAAACAGCATTTAAAAATAATGATTATATTGGACTGTCGAAAACTCGTTAACCTGTTTTAGCTATTTGCAAGTATAGTTTAATAATTTACGTATAGTATAATATTGTTTATGATTATGCGTTATAAGTTATAACGTGTGTAAAGGACAATAATCGGTTATTTTGGCAGAACAAGTCAATATGTTTGTAGTTAACAGTTAACACACTAAACATAAACAATAATTCACGAGCACACACGTTTTATATTTACTAGTTAGGTAGGTACGAGGTTGGAACGATCCATCATTCGCAGTGAAACTCATTATAAAATATTATTATAGTTTGCATATGACGGGTTAATAGAAGGAAAAATGGAATACTTTGATAAAAGTAACTTTGAGTGAAGGCTTCGTATATTATATAGGTACGATATTGTATTAGATGAAATGTCGACAATAATCTATCGATATATAAATGAATGCTATTCTGAAAAGTGCGTTTATTTATTTATCTATGTATTATATAATTTATGAAATATACTATAACATTAAAGTAATAATTTAAACTAAATTTTATATTTTTCCATGAATGTATGCTTGATAAAACGTATTTACTGTTAGAGGTAACCCTATTATTTACTAATGAAAACGTCGCCATTATCGTATTAAGTATTCGGTCTTGTGCCAGTTGCGTCCGCAGGGGGGGGGGGTGCTAAAAAGGTTAAGTAGCATTTATAGAAAAAAAAAATTTAATTATTCAAATACAATCCAAGTAAAGACGGTATAACCAAACATTTAAATTCATTAAAATTTTTTTTTCTCCAATTATTTTTAAAAGCACTGAGCATTTTCAATTTTGACCTCCTAAAAGTACCAACTAGATCCAATTTGCTTCCAAAAACATACACTGGGCATCGAAGCTATTATGATCAGAGCATTTTTTTGTACCAGAAAAGTTGAAAAGTTACAAACATTTTAATATACCTCAAATAAATGTCTGAAATTATTAGACTGGACAAAATAAAAATAAAATTATAACTAATTTTCAAGCCCCCCCCCCCCCATTGAAAAATTCTGCGGACGCCACTAGTCTTGTCGCAGAACTGTGAAGGGATCATATTATGATAAATTAAATATTTAATGTATGTACATATTGTATTCCAGTTATCTATCCATCGTTTCGACTTACTATATTTCCGTGGTTCCAGAATACTATGATATTGTTAATACAGTAAAACTCGCTTAAGACGCTCCCATTTAAGACGCTTTCCCGCATAAGACGCTATTTTCCGTCGGTTACTATATCATCTATATCCCTATTTCATTCCCGCATAAGATGCTTTCCCGCTTGAAACGCTCTAGAGAGCTGGTCCCTTAAAGAGCGTCTTCAGCGAGTTTTACTGTAATTGATATTATTTTACGGTCGTGTTTGCCTAGACATTGATCCAAGGTCGATTTTCTATTAGGTAATAGCATTGATTATGAATAATAATAATTATTATTATTATTATTCATAATCAATAGTAATAGATACGTCATAATAACAGCTAGTATGATCAATTTCTAGAGAACAACAGACCTGAACAATTAAATTTAACTTTAACAAAAAAAAATTATTTGAAACTACATTAATCATCTTATAATTGTAAAACTATAATAGTCTTGTAAAATGTACACTATTAACCTCTGTCGTTGGTGTCATAAATGATCAATAAAAATATAAATCATAAAATAATATTGTACCTATTACTTTGTTTACATTGAATTATTTACTATAATATTATATTAAATTGAACAAATAAAGTTTTAGTATTGGTGATTGTATAGGTATTAATGCGAACATGATAATTTATTAGTCTTTGATAATGAAATCGTACCTACACTAATATTGTACCTATACCTAACGTAATTTCAGGCACAACCTCTAATAAATGTACTCAAATCTGGATAATCCCTTATCATATATATATCAATAAAATAGTAGAAGACCCCTTAAATATTTAAAAATAATAATATACTGTTTTGATATCATCAGCGTTATAATTGTCAATTATTAACTAATCTAGTATGTATTATTGTTTTAGAGTTATGGCATTCGTACAAAAAGCTGTCGCACGTCTTTACGAACCCGATAAACTGGAAACTCTATTAAGAGACTTGGGCAAGAAGCACTATCATTATGGCGCCAAACAAAAATACGTAGACGTGAGTATAATTGATTTAACTACAGTCTTAATAATGATTATTTTAGACATTTCAACGAAACGAAATTAATTTAAACTGTATATTTCAATTCATTTTAGAAGAGATACATAGTAGGTATACAATATACATGTTTGTACAATAATTTCTGTACATAAAGTGTTAATGGATTACGCAGCATACTTTAAAATAATAATATAATATTGTATTTAATTTATATCAAACGATTCTTTTTTTTATGACAAAATCTGTAGAAACACATTTTAATAACATTATACAGATTGATGGGTTTTGACAAGAATATATTTTATAATGGTTAAATTATATAGAATTTGTAATTAAATTAATTTCTCTTAATGCTCAAAACTAAATTATATTTATATTTATTTAAATATTTAATCATTTTATAAGATAATTTCAATTTCATAAAATCCACTGACTATAAATCAACTTATGACATAAACTTATCCACCAATGAAAATAACAAACTTTTTATGATCACTACTCGATTGTTTTTCATTCTTCAATCGTTCATATTTTCTACGAAAGTCATAAATACATTATTTTCTTTTAACATTTTCTTTTGTTTCACATCTCTCACCGATACTGAAACCCATTACATTATATTTTCCCTTATAACTTACTAATCATCATACTTCCATACACGTATTACATTTGAAATAATTTAAGTACCATAGATTGGTGATTTTTCCCTCTCACACTCCCTCTCTAATAATTTATTAATTTACTATGCACGCAAGCGTTCAATCTCTCATTCCACTTTGAGCCGAGTTCACAGCTGCCCTGTCTATCGTGTCGTGTGCTTTTTATCGTATTCTGATTGACCGTGGTAATCTTGGTATCATTTACCAACCGTAATCTACCAGGATATTTTAAGAGTTGGCCCGATCTCAAATTTTGGAGACGACACGACAAACGACATACCTAGCAGTGAACACGACTTTAAGCTTTGCCCGCCTGAGGCAGCTCCAATGTTGCCTAGGTGATTATAATGTATAATGCATTATGCGTGTATTATTTTATTATCGAATCGAAATAAATATTAATATAGTTTATGTCAAAGTCACGCTCACTTGGTTGAAAGATTCGAACGCAAATCGCAGCTTCTATGGAAACTATATATGTACACTGCTGCACAGTAAATAACGACTTAGGAACATTTACTTTGTATTCATTTAACGACCCCGTTCCTCAGGCAGTCTGTTAATGCTGTAGAAATTTACCAACCAACTGCAGCTTGCTCCCCGTGCAAATACGATTTGTATACATATCCCAAGGTGCTATATTATACTTAATACTTATACTATCTCTCTCTACTTCTCGTTCTCTTGCTGTTCCGTTTTATGCACCACCTCAGCGTCAACAACAAACACCAATAGTAGTTCGTCGTCGCGAATACTTGATAATTTGATGCAGAGGGAAAAGAAAATATGCTCAATTCAAAGTGTCTACATGATGCCCAATGAATTAATTTCGAAAAAAAAATAAATACTCAATCTAGTGTTTATCAAAAAATGAACTGTATGTCACTGTTGTTATAAGTCATGTGGTTGCAACGATAGTACGAACGACGCGGCATTGTCATTACTCTTGTATAGATACCGATTTTAGCTTTTGTGCTACTCGATCATTATAGATAAAAAACTGTCCGCTGTCTAGAGAACGTAGCACTACACTTTATTACTCACTATAATATAATGGTGTATTTCCTTTGTAACATTTATTTCATTACTTCACAACTTTTTTATAATCCAAGATACTGTGGAAATGTTCACAGATAAAGTATTTAAGTATCTTTCAGAAGAGATATAAATATGTTAACACGCGTATAAAGATTGAAGTTCAATTAAAGTTAAATCTTTGAAAATTTGCTAAGATACTTATTTATACAAAAAAAAAAAATTGAATTTAAAAACTAAAACAGCGACTGTTCGTTTATCGGATTCAACTTTGTTACATATGACTTTTATGAATAATGTAGATTGAACTATTCCGCAGTGTGTTAGTTTTCCAAATTACAAAGATATTATTCTAATCGTCAGTTAAAAAATAATTTAAAAAAAAAAGCAATAATCTTAGTAACTTGAATCATTCGACTGTTACTTAAATAATTATCATTTTGTAATGAAATGTTAAAAATATTTAGATTAATTTTTAACTATTTATAACTACGAGTGTTTGACAAACTTATTCACGGTTATGGTATTTATTTATTATAGTTTTGCGGTCGTGGTATTGACTTCTAAGTTAATAACAATAATTTAAATATAATAGTTATATTTTAATATTTAATATTATATTGATATAATAATGAATAATATGATATGTACGTTTTTTTTTGACAGAAAATAGTTCACCTACTGTACTACCATCAGAAACCAACATCAGTATAATTACCAATAGTACCTAATATAAATAAAATATCCTTAGAATTAGATACTGACTTATCTTTCCGCTCAGAATTGTTTTTCGTATGCAATGATTTATCACTGAATTCAAATTTAACGTCTTTTACAGTCTATTACTCTACTCAATGACGAGGTTACTACCACTAGTAGCCCACTTCCCAGTTTTTTTTTTTTTTTAAATGACATAAGTACCTATTCCCTGTCGCTTGCTGTTAAGCGTTATAGTACAATGTTATCAACATAATATCACATTTTTTTTTATAATGTACAATCCGTTTAATCATATAATTTACTATGGACATTTTTCTTCTTATTATATCAATAGAAATACCTAAATATTTTGCAACTTTTATTTATAAATTTTTTAATTATTATATGTACAAATATTTAATTACTGCCTTTTTTTAATTACCCAACTAAAAACACAATCGAAAAAGTGTTTTATGTAAAAAATTATGGTCTCCACGTTGTTAGGTTAATAAATATCAATAAATGAGAAATAATACATATCATGTTTCAAACTGAAAAATGAATAGCACATTTTTAAGTAAACCTACATTGAACGCATATATATCGTTAATTAGTTGGACACGGTCATGTGGAAATTATTCATGGGTATTATTATTTTTATACATATAGCCATCAAGAAACCTATTTAGTTTCATGATTGTTACAAAATATCAATTTTTGTATTACTTTATATTTTTAAGACTTACAGTTATATTATGCATTTAAAATTAGGTCAAGATATTATACATTACGAATAAATAAATAATATTTTTTTATCGAAGGTGGTTCAGCAACATTTTGTTAGATATTAAACATCAACAATATTAATAATATAATGTAAAAACTTTTACAATTGTAAAATCAAAGTTTTTGAATGTTTAAAAAAGACATAATATAATGATCAATAAAAATAATTGACTTTTAATTCGAACAGTTTTGTCATATTTTGTAAAATGAGTATATCCATACAAATTACAAAATATATATTTCTTGTGTGTTTAGGAACTATTAATGGCATTTTAAATAGGTAACGTATTTATTCTTTTGTCCAAGCAGACTTATTAAATCAATCTTGCTGTTACTTAATCGAAAAACTAGGTAACGAATTTCGATTCTCAAAATGTATTTGGTTATATTTATAAGCTAATGAGTATAATACTTATTAACATATATTTTTTATTGTCTTATAACCACAAACATAATCATCCCTTAGCTTCTCGTGGAACACTAAACATTTGCCACTCTGGGGACAACTGATTGCGCGATAATGGACCTACGAATAATTGTAATGGGTGTAATAATTGCACACGCACCACAATGGCATATAAATATTGACCTTCTCTTGATCACAATAGGAAAACTTTACCCTTTTTTCGGACCGACCCCAAACGATAAAAACACCCACAGAGGACGATAATTCGCGTGCACTTAACCAGATAGACCACACCCGGTCTTCGCTTACTACCTACACAGGACAACGTCGTCTTTCCGGCCGAGCACAACATATTTTGATTAGAGTAGCCATCGTCGCCACCCTGGTTAATTTGTTTTGGTGAATATCAAGCGGGACTTATCGGAAACGACAGCAATCATTTCAATTATTCTAATTTGCTGCTAATGTTTGATTGAAAAAAAAACCAATAACAATAATTAAATGGTTGTTAAATCGTATATTACACTGCAGTCGGATGTCTTCAGTTGATGTGGAAAAATGTGAGTTTTTCTCAAGCACCGATACACGAGCGTTTCGTTTAAATATAAAATGTCTTAATAACAATATGATTCTTCGGACGTGCACTCGTGTTTAATTAAATGCGATGACCGGTGGCAATAACAATACGTATTTAGAATACCTACCATGTGCCCATGTCCACTATTTGTAGGTACCTATTTTATTACATTTAAAATTATTTAGTGTGGGCCATCGTATAATCCCTTTTTACGGTGCTATAGACTATGGAAAATCATGAAAACGCGTTGTCCCATCCCGTATAATTCTATCATATTATAATATGAACATGTTTAAAATGTTATGTACTGAGCCACCATCACCGCTTAACATATTGTTATACATATAAATGCGTCCATATAATATAGTTGTTAATCGTGTCTCATAAGTTTTAGATGAAAATGTAGATAAACGAGGATTTTATGCTCATTAGCTATGTACAAAGTATAAGTATAAAAGTTTTTTCCTCTCAGTGAAAGGATGTGTTCAAAAAGTTTGAAAGCTTTTTGTGTAACTAATATAGATAAATCGCATTTAACATTACTATATATCATGCAGTGTTTGATTGTCATATATGTATATGCATTGTTAACTGTGTACCTACTATGTAACTTATGTACCTACGTACTATGGAATTAATGTTAATTAATTGTATTTCAAATCGTATTATTTTCCCAAACATTTGAATTTGAAAAAAAAACAAGACAGGATATCGTCACATAAAATCATTAATCATTATTAACACCGTTATAGAAACATCATATATAGTTAGAACTTAGAACTGACCATTCTTAACTTTCCTTTATTATTTCAATGTATATCTTAAGGTCGACTGTCAACATTAACCTACTGTAATCATACAACTTAACATATTATAATTATATAATATAGTATACACACTATACATACCTACCTATGATAGGTACTTAACAAAATTATAGGTCAAGTTACAAGTTAAATGGAGCATTTTGATATTTTAATTAGATATAAAAACAACCAACATAATATTTTAACAATATAGTATAATATATAATATTTTAATACATTTCAAATAGGGTAAGTAATTCAAAGTAAAACCAATATAATATTTTGCTTCGTTAAGAACTTATAATATTTAAAAATACATTAAAATATTTTGAATTATCATTAATATAACCTTTATTTAAGTAGTACTTAATATGATGGAATAGAGATTTATATAATGTATTAATGTGTTAATTCGTGTTATTTTTTCAACCTTTGTCCACCGTTGTTTTTGCTTACAGTTGATCGGACCTCAATTCATTATGGCCATACAGCCGTCGCTAGTCGACCGATGGACTGAGGAGATGCACTCGGCGTGGACAGCATTGTTTTTGAATATGGCGTACATTATGAAAGGTTCGATGGCGGCCGAAGAAAGGTTCAAAGTAAAGAAAACTGCCACTTAAACGACCAGTCCCTATTTGTACACACCAATGATTATTATTTTTGTTTTGTGAATTAATGTTTTTGTTCAATTTTTATTTTATAACGATACAACGTTTATCTATTCAATGAACTTAGACAAAATTATTATTACTATTATTATTATTATTATTATTATTATTATTCGCAACGTAAGTTTCGTTAGACATTTATATTACATTATATTAATATTATATTATAGAAATCGCACGATATTTTCTTCATTAAAGTCAATATCCTATACATAACATCGGCATTGTTTGTACAGCAAATAATAGTTAAATTAAAATATACATAATAGTTATGATAATAATATTGTAATGATGTAGGTATTATTGCATTAATGTGAACGGTTATAACCATGTTATTATATCTACTGCTTGGACTTAAAATAAAAACAACATGATATGAATGGCGTTTGAATACTGAAGTATGAGTTTTTCATTAAAAATTATTAAAATTATTGTTAATACATTATGCATGTTAATATTTATTGACAAAGAGTTAATAAATAATAATTATATTATTCCCTCGTCACAAAATACGATTCATAAACCATAGGTGTATATTTAATATATTTATAACTAAATGTTTATGATTAGAATGATATTACCTACACGAAACAAGATTACTTAATTTTAAATTATCTCTTGGTTGAAAAATATAAAATAAAATCTTAAAAACAAAGTTCTAGAATGATGGTTTAGAATAACCATCCAACAACCTAATGTATAGAATGTTTCATTACAAGTTACAACATATGTGTACGTTTTTAACAATTTTTAACATGGTAATTCATACTATATTTACTACATAAATAATTTATATCGTGATTCGGTCACGTGGTATAAATTTATAATAAATTTATATAAGGTTGCCATAAACCAGAAAAATATTAATAATCATGATGTTTTAAATTTTTAAAACAATTAATAATATATAATAAAGTATCTTCTATAATAGTATGGATAGTTTTTTTTAATTAATATATATTTTTTTCATCATTAAAATTAAATGTATATTTCAAAATTAGTTTGAAATTAAAATATTATATTTAATAAGTAATAACTTTAATCAAAATAATACCACATTTTTTAATTGCCTACCTATGCCTACCTAAAATGTTTATTTAAAAATCTATAATTAAGATGATAATATATAAGAACAATGAATATACTATGTAGTTATTGTATAGGTAAATATTAAACTTAAAACAAAGATCATAATCTGTAGGGTTAGGGTATTATAGCATTTGCTTTTAGATTCTAAGTGAAACGATGAATATATTGATTTTACAATGATGTTTGTTTTTTTTTTTATTTTTTTTATATTTATTTTTTAAATTTTTTTATTTTTTGTGTCTGTCATCACGGTTTAAGGCAGTAAAACTGCTTCGATTTTCTTCAGCAATATCTAGTTCGATGGGAAAGTGAATCTAGTTGGTGCATTAGGGAGGTCAAATTTAAAAATTCCCAATATTTTTCACAAGCGCCGGGAAAACAACTTAAAAATTAAGCAAATTCGGTTTTCCATATAATCGATTTTGGTTTTTGATGTAACTCTACAACAAATGAATGTATATACATGAAATTTTCACTGGTTGTTTATATTTGCATTTTCTATACACGATGGAATTTTTTAAATATTATAATTTGTTTTGACCTGTTTAGGAACATTTTCATTTTCCATTTTTTTTTTAGTTTTATTTCTAAAAATATCAATACAATTTTATTTGTTGGTTAAAAAAGCTTGAAAATGTAATAGAAGGCTCCTAGTATATTTTTTCAAAGATAGATGAAAAGTATTAAAAATCCTTTGTCACAGTTTTTTTTTAAATCATTTAAAGTTCAAAAATTGACAAAATATGGTAAAATCACGAAAATCAGCAAATTATTTTGAGTTAAGAAATAAGAATTCGTACAATTTTTTTTTTTTAAATTTTAGGTTTTAAAATAAAATACAATATTCCTTATAAGATTATCTACCTTTATCAAAAAAAATAATGTCTATAAGCATTCAATTTAAATTATTATGAGCGTTTGAAATTCAAATTTTTACAACATTGGATATTCATGCGGTTTCAAAAGTAGCGATGTCCTTATTTTGTTGTAATTCAAAAACGAATAACTGTAGGTACATGAAAATTTTCACTGAATGTTTATATTAGAATTTCCTATACACCATACAATTTCGAAAATATTTTGACTCCTTTTGAGCTGTTAACGGACATTTTCAGTATTCAATTTTTTTAGTTTTTTTTTCTATAAATATCAATAAAGTTTTATCTGTTGGGCCGAAAAGTGTAAAAATTTAATACAAGGCTCCTAATATATTGTTACAATATCAGTTGAAAAATATTAAAAATAGATAGGCACAATTTTTTTTATAAGCATTTAAAGTTCGAATTTTGACAAAATGTATCATATTTAAAATTTAATAATTATTTTGTAGTTAAAAATGTATGAAATGTTCAGCTTTTATAGCTAAGAATTGAAAATTTAAAACAAGGGTCCACGTAAATAGGTAAATATATAAATTACTTTATTCACAATAATATCATCGAATATACCTACTTAGTATTATCATAGGCTGACTGACCGTTTTCGCCCAGAATCGTTTTTCTTATGCAATGATATTATATCATTGAATTCAAATTTAATATAATCCATTATACTTATACAGTGACCCACTTGTACTATACAGCAGAGCGACTTTTTTCTTGGGCTTGACATAAAATCTAGCAAGTTAATGTCATGTTACAACGATTTCAAATATGAAATTTGAAAGTGCTGTTTTTGCTTATTTTCGGGTTTTGTTTATGTTTTTCTTTTCTGTTTTTGTATAATATATTCTAGTATTCTACTTTGAGTTGACGCAGATGGTAGCAACTGACAAAATCTGATTTCTTTTCTATAATTTTTTTCCTCGATGTGTGTCTGCAGTGAAACTTTGCCTTTGTTTTTTATTACCTAATACCTAATAGTAAATACTATTGATTAATCCTATATTGTAAGTATTTGGTTACTATTGGTCAATAGTCAATTCTAAATATTGATTAAATCCGATACCTGATAAATATAACAAATTATAATAATTTTTACATTTCATTTTCATTAACGACACGCCATTATAAATGCAAATAAAAATTAAATATTTTTATAACTAACAACATAGTCAATATAATATGATACTTGATAATCGATGAATGCCATAGACGCTTAAAACTATAAGCTACTCTCTAATCACGTATTTTACCGTTATCGTAATCAAATAATAACTCCTCCGCTGGATTGTATATATATGTTTAAGAACCCCAAGCACACATCGTAAATGTACGTTTCTGTCAAAGTAATAAAAGTGCTCAATTACAATTATGTACATACAAATGTCTAGTCTGTATAGTCCTACATAATTTTTTCTTCATCACCCGATGCTCATTAAGTTATTACACGAGATGGATAATATGCAACTACATTTTCATACATGTTTCAATAAACAACAGAACAATACAATACAATTAAATCAGCATGTTTAAGTAGTAAGTACATAACAGTTATTTATTTTAGTATAACATTATAGAATAGGTACGATAAATTTCAGGTTTATGTCTGAAATGTATAAAATACTAACCTAATCGTAGTCGTACCCCCACCGCGGTTTTGAGCCAAAGTTGTATGTAATGTGGTTACTGATCCTGTTACCTAACTAATTTTATAATAATACCGGTCGGTAGAAAACTATACTCATACGTAAGTAATATTACATAGAAATATTATAATAAAATAGTTGAAAAAAAAAATAATTGTATTACGAGTTACGACCATAGACGTAGGCTGATGAAATATAATTTGGGGGGGGGGGGGCTGCAAAAACAATTAATAATAATAAAAAAAAAACACTATAAACTTAATGAAAATAAGACTTTCTGGGGGGCTAATATTTACACTGGGGGCTAAGCCCCCAAGCCCCCCCTAAAGACGCATATGGTTACGACACTAGATTATTATTATATATTCGTGTCAAACAACCATATTTATACAATTATAGGTATTTTGTACAAACAATTATAAGCATTTAAACATATAAACATAAAATATATAAATGCAAACATAAACAAGAGTTTAAATTGTTAATTTATTAAATAAATATAAATTTTAAACAAACACAAACATGAGTTAGGATAAATCACATTACTCTAGAGAAATAATATTGTCATGTGAAAATAAATTATGTTATTTCGTAATGATTTTAGTGTCTTAGTCTTATTTTTCATATTATACTATTATAGTTTCTAAAGATTCAACATGAAAAGGGCACACAAAATGTGTAATGGAGTTCTACAAGTAAGACATATTTAATTAAATAACAAAAAAATGTTAATACCTAGTTATTAGTATTTCATAATACAATAATAAAATATTAATGATAATATTCATAATAATGAAACAATAATTTTAATATATAAGTATTAAGTAAATTTGTTTTTTATCAAAATAACCAGATATACGTTTTGCTATTTTATTCATAAAAATTGAAATTATTCATATACCTATTATTATTATTATCTATGATTATTTTTATCTATTTAACTTTTCTTTTCTTAGACTAACAATTAAAAAGCACCAACTATACTTGACAGCTGTTTAAATCGGATTGTTGAAATCTTACATTATTAAATTATTTAAATCCATTTATAAAATATTTAATAAAAATAATGTACTTAAAATAGCATAGTGTAAGTTATTGTCAAAAATGCATACTTTATTTCATAGCTTTTAGATTCTGAGTGAAGCCGACGACTGTATTGATTATTCAATGTTGTGATTTTTTGTGTCTGGAGACACTTTTATAGTTAATAAAATGCTTCAATTTCATACTTCAGCATCTTTTAAGTTGGTCTTTTTGAGCTATACTATTTTTTTTAGTTTTTTGTCCATACATATGAATAAAAAAAATTTCACTTGGTCAAAAAGCTTAAAAATGT